GTGAAAAGGTCACAAAATAGTCGCTGTTTGTCCAAGTGTACACACTAAGTCTCCTAGAAGTAGGAATAGCAACTGGAGAAGGAGACCAAAGCGAGGAAGAAAAGCAGAGAAACCGGGAATTCATCAGAAACTAAATGGAGTAGTGCAGAGAGACTCCTCCAAACACAGCCCAGCTCTCAACATGGCGACGACAACAGTGGGAAATTTACAGAGGAGGACCAGGGTCAGTTGCTGCATGGAAAATAACTAAAAAGGAACAGAGAGGGGATGAAATTCTCACTGTGCTGGACACAAGCTAAAGTCACCAGAGAGGAGGGAATGTCAATTTAAAAAATGCCTATAAGCTCCGGCTGTAGGCAAGCCTGTGAGGCAGTTTTTTAACTAGTGATGGATGGGGGAGGGCCCATCCCATTGTGGGTGGGGCCAGCCCTGGGCTGGCAGTCCTGGGGTCTATAAGAAAGGAGGCTGAACAAGCCATGAGGAGCAAGCCAGTAAACAGCACTCCTCCATGGCCTCTGCTCTTGACTCCAGGCTCCTGCCCTGCTTGAGTTCCTTTCCTGACTTCCTTCAGGGATGGACAGTGATTGGGACGTGTAAGCCAAACCCACCCTTAACTCTTCAAGTTGTTTCTGGTCACGGTGTTCCATCACAGCAAGAGGAACCCTACCCCAGGCACTGAGCAAACCAGCCTGGAAGAACTCTTGTGGTTTTTTTTTGTTGTTGTTGTTGTTGTTTCACTTGTTCTTTTGAGATAGGGTCTTACTTAAAAGTTGCTACTTAGTTCAAGATGACTTTGAACTTCTCATCCTCCTGTCTCTGGTTCCCAGGTGCTGACTATACACCTGGTTTCATTTAACAGTTTTCAAATTAAAAAACAAAACATAAAAATGTGAACTTCTGAATTCTGGAATCCATACTTGGTTTTAACATAAACTGATTCACAATGGTGTAGCCTGCCCTTTTTATCAGTCTATTTCCTTCCAATAGGTGGCACTCTACTCCATGTAAATGGTCTCAGTTGGCTGCTGACCTGCCCTGTACCAGTTAGAACTGCTCTCAGGGATCCTGGACAAAGTATCAATAGGCCACATGTTTTATGTAAAATCTCTCTGGTCCTTTAACACAAAAACCCCAGAGAGGTCAGCTGATGTTTTTGAGGTCACACAGTAAGCCATGATGCTAAGTCTAATTTCTAGCAGGGTTTTCTACTTTGAAGTTCGGTGCAGCCTCTTTTTTTTCACAAGATTTTGTAAGATTTTTTCCCCTTTTTGCAGTTACAAAGATATGACACCGCAAGTCTTCCCATTAGCTAACACTTTTAATAAATAGAATATGCTTTACTATTTGGACATCTTTTGTGCTTATTAACACCTTTTAAAATAATGGCTCATCAGGACCTGGAACTGTTAAGACAGCTTTAATCATACTCTTAGTATCCCTCATATCACACTCCTATGGTGCTCCAAATTACACTGGGAAAAGCCCCATACTGCACTCTAAAATATCTAGAAAAGTAGCTCAAAAAATATCACAGAATCATACAAAGATAACTCAAAACCACACAGTGCCTTTCTACCATCGACATTTCAAATAATCACGAGTCCTCTAACTGAAAGGCTTGTAAAAGTGACCACACACCAATAGCTCTTGGGTGGTAAGACTATTAGAAGTGAGCCACTGCATTAAAACCTGATAGCAAATAAATTCCAACTTGCAAAACTTGAACCTTAAACAAAATTTTTAAAAAATTAGAGACCGTTCCTTTTAGGGCATTCCTACCATGATCTCTACTTGGAGAAAGTGGCTCAGTAGTTAAGACTGTTCTTCCAGGGGACCCAAGTTTGGTTCCCCAGATCCAGAGGATCTGGCATTTCCTTCTGGCCTCCACATGCACCTGTGCTCACATGCACATGCAGGAGCTCGTGTACATGTACACGTACACACACACACACACACACACACACACACACACACACACACACACACGGGGGGGTTAAAGGCAAAAAGCATCTTTGCTTTTTCTTTTTTTAAGATAAATATATAGAAAGCATGGGATGAAACAATATACTCTTACTGCATGAAGAATCAAGAGGGTGGAAGTGTGATGAGGCAGCTGATTCTGGGATATCAGGAAGTTTCTGTATAGTGTCATTTGAGCCCACATAAGCTAACTGGAGAAACTGACAGCTGGCAAGTCCAACAGAGGGTTGGGGGTGGTGTTTATAAAGGTACTGAGGTTTAAAAAAAAAAAAAATCTGTCGAAGAACAAAGAGTCATGTGGTAAAGCTTAAGATATATAAAAGAGGGTAGGGAAGGAAAAGCTTACTTAATTTCAGGGGAGAAATCAACATATTCCAATCTCCGCACTTGGTAGTCTGGACTTCCTTGATTTAGTATTGAATTGCCATTGCTGCACAGACTGAGAGGTCCTTCAGTCCCAGAAGTCTGTGTGCGGAGCAGTAAAGGGAGACAGGCTAGGTGAAGGGAATCAGCCCCCTATAGAAGAGACCTTGAGGGTACAGCTCAGTGATACAGGACTTACCTGATGCTGGTGTCTCCCCATCATCTCCCCACCACTAAAAATAGAGCCAATCTGTGCCAAGCAGTGATAGTATTTCATGTAATCCTAGCAATATGTGAGGTGTTATTTAATCCTAACAATTCAGGCACAAGACATTTTCATAGATAAGCAAATGCCGCCAATCAGCAATGGCTGTGCTCGGACACACACAAAGGTTGATGGATGGAAAATTACTCAGGTTTTAGGAATGGAGAAGCCAAAGAGCTGGAAGGCAAAAGGTGTGAAAAGTTCTACGGTCCCGGTAAGAACACACGTCGCAAAAATGATTCAGAACCTTTAAGTCATATATGAAAAAAACTCAGATCCAAGGAAAATGAAGAAGACAGAGCATCATAAAATCAGTCATAAATTAGACTAAGAAGGAAAGGGGGAACAAATTGAAGTCAAGAAAAAGAAAGTAGAAAACCTAGACATTTAAAAGACTGCTCAAGGAGGCCTACCATCTCAGCAATGGGACAGTTTAAATACAATGAGATCCCACAGCAGTTCTCAGGACAGAGGACTCAGGATGTAGCTTCCCAGAGTGACTGTACCAAATACAAGGTCAGTGGGCAAGACCATGGTTCAAAACCAAGTCTAAGGAGCTGGCATAATAAGAGCAGATCCCAAACAGAAAAGACCACAATCCAGTGTGATTACTGGAATGTGTCAGAAGAAAGGCATGCCGGTGATGAAGAGTGCCGGTGATGAAACCAGCCTTACCCGTATGCCTTAGAGAAAAGCAGGAAAACTGAACTGCTGTTGCCGATGGGCTCTACTGCCTCAGCTACTTCAATACCCAACGCTGTTTTATGGCATCAATGCTATGACGTCAGAGTACTGATTTGATCGTCATTGCAACTTCCTTCCCAGAAGAGTGCAGGATAGGTAAAAGCCCACCAAGGAGAGTCACAAGGATAGCCACTTCATAAATAGGGTTCAATGAAGAAACAAGAAGCCCTAGAACTACCTTCACTACAAAAACAAATAAGACTAAGACTTGAGACTATAAGACATAATTAAGAATTATTTCCTAAGGCTGAATTTATTTTCATCCATTTTTTATAACGTTATAGTGTGACATAAGATTTTGATTAATCTAAAGTTGTGGTTATTCTGAATGAGAGTGTTACAGAAACCCATCTTATTAGAATGTGATGACCAACACAATGCTTACTTCTTTGGACACACACACACACACACACACACACACACACACACACACACACACACTCATGTATGCTGAATATCAATGCTTCTGATTCTAACACATGTAAAAAGTGAGTGAGATCAAGGATATAGCTCATGTAACTTTCCACTTCCGGACGAAATGGAAAATTACAAGTGGCTTTGTTCCATCTTCCCATCTTTTTTGTAAGTATTCAAAATCATCAGCCTCCTAAATCGGATCTTTGTTCCTTGCTAGTTTAAGTTTGATTTTCTATTTCTACTTGATGCATGCACGTTTATGGAATTAAATCAGTGAACTGAAGAAAAAAAAATCCCTAATGTTGCATATGGAGCTATTTGTTTGGGTAAGTAAGAAAATGCTACATTTTAAGCCAAGTAACTCTTACATCAGAGCAGCAGCCTGAGGGGAAACAAGAAGGGAAGGAGAGAGGGAAGGGCAGCCTGGGCTGCAGGCTCTGGCTTTGGAGCCTTGACTTGCAAACAGAGTATTAGGACAGGGTTACTTCTAACATCCATCAATAAAGAGATGCGTAAAAATTCCAAATCTTCATCACTGAACTGAGCTGGTAGAATACATAGTGTAGTGGGTAGCCATTCCAGCCCTGATCTGGAAGTTCCAACTCCCCACTGAGGCGTCAGTAACTGTCACACCTACAAGGCAGGGCCAAGAGAGTACAATGAAGACCTGAGATCCTCGGGCTCTCTTGGTTCCTGAACCCGGGATGCTTGATTTAGACGGAGCAGGGTTCTCCAGAGAACACCGCCGGACTGTGCCATGTCCTTCCCAGACTCTGTACACTATCCATTCACTTGTAAGTTACCCTACAAAATAAACCTCCCTTTTAACTACGTGGAGTGGCCTTAATAATTTCACCAATAACATAGCCTTGATATTAAAACTCCGTGAGAGATTTACTATGTTAGCACTTGCTTTACTGTCTTTTTTTTTTTTTTTTTTTGGTTTTTCAAGACAGGGTTTCTCTGGGTAGCTTTGCGCCTTTCCTGGGACTCACTTGGTAGCCCAGGCTGGCCTCGAACTCACAGAGATCCGCCTGCCTCTGCCTCCCGAGTGCTGGGATTAAAGGCGTGCGCCACCACCGCCCGGCAGCACTTGCTTTAAAGACATAGGTAACAATTGAATGACAACAGATGTATTTTGTCAGAGAACAAAAAAGAAGATCTATGTCACAGGAGCTTCAATGGTGGCAGAATAAAGTAGGGGCCTGGTATTTTAGCCGCTGCAGCTTACCTGCCATGAACAGTAGTAGATTTGAGAATATCTCCAGGCAGGACCACTGTGAGTTCAATGTCTTTATCGATCATATTTTCATCTTGCTCCACGATGACAGCAGCCGATTCTATAGGCTCCCCCGCAGAAGGGACACCCATGCCCTTTGTCTCAGCAGGAGGAAGTGGTGCCTTCGCTTTTGATTTCCTCCTAGAATAAAAAGAAAACCGAGAAAATAAAATACCTTTTTTTTATTTTTGGTTTCTCGAGATAGGGCTTCTCTGTGTAGCTTTGCGCCTTTCCTGGAACTCACTTGGTAGCCCAGGCTGGCCTCGAAATCACAGAGATCTGACTGGCTCTCCTTCCCGGGTGCTGGGATTAAAGGCATGCACCACCACCGCCCAGCAAGAAAATAAAATATCTTAAAAGAAGCTTTCTAGTATTACCTAATTTTATAAAAACCCCAAACCTAAGTTTAGGTTATTCTCACATCCAGGAAAATTGTAATTCGTTAATTAAAAGGCATGAAATATGAATAGCCAATGAACACATGAAAAATGTTCATCACTAGCCATCTGGTAACCAATCTAAAATGACACTGAGATCCCATCTCATCCTACTCAGAATGGACATTAAGAAAAAAAATAACAATAAATGATGCTAAGAATCACAGAAAAAGGAGCCCTTACAAACACTAAGTAGGACTGTAAACTAGTCAAACCACTTTGGAAATCTGTATGAGGGTTCTGGGGAAAAAACAAAACAGATGGACTGTCCGACCCAGCATGCCATTCCCAGGTATTCACTCAAAGGACTTTTAGACAACATATCATAGAGATCCTTCCTCAAGGACAGTCACTGCACCACTATTCACAAGGGCCACACTGTGCAACCACCTTAGGTGTCCATCAATAGGAATGCATAAAGAAAGCAGGTATATATACACACAACAGCATTTTATTCAGCAATAGACTGGAATTGTGTCACTTTCAATAAAACTGATATGCAACTGAAGATTTTAATAGTAAGTGAATTCTGACTCAGAGAGACAAATAATGCATACTTTCACCCATTTGTAGACCCTAGCTTTTATATAGATATACAAAATCATTTCTGTGTGTATGACCTAAAAGTAGAAACAACCGTCTATGTGAATGAAGTTGACTACTAGGAGATTGGGAAAGAGAGTAGAGAAAGGATATGGGGGCCAAGAGAGAATGGCATTGTATGTATGTATGCACAAAAATGTCCTTATGAAACCCAGAGCTATTTATGTATAATGAATAGACACATTTTTAAAAAGACACAATAAAATCTATATCGGCCTTCATCTGCTTTGGTCAATGTTCATTTCTATCAAATCAAGTATACAGTTTCTCTTCTTTGATGTGGTAACATTAACAGTGTCTCAGGATGGACGACTGCACTAGACACTTCACAATGACTCCCGACCGAGTCTGCTGTTCTTTTCACACTGTGTGCTCCACTTCTCTACCCAGATAAACCTTATCCATCCATTATAGTCTAGCTTAGTTTATCCTCCCTTCCCAAGAGCGTACTTCTTTCTTTGAACTGATGCAGCATATGCAACTGAATCTCTAAACCTAGCGGTTTTTTCCCATTTTTCCCTGATTACCGGATCATCCCTGATTTTATAAGACCATGAAAGAAGAAAGAAGGCTCTAAGTGGCTCTATTTTCTAGTGCTTCCTCCTGGCATGGAACAATGAACTGTCTCACTGTAAGACACTCATCTGGGCATGGCTATTACCCAGTGGGCATTTTCAGGCAAGTTTAACTGAGGCAGCAAAGATCCACCCTGAATGTAGGCCCCATCTACCAGAAGGCTAGGGTTCAGCCTGCATAGAAAGGAGAAAGGGAGGGAACACTGGCCCTCAGCACTGCCCTAGAATCCTAATAGCACAACGTCCTCGTCATGGTAGAATATACTGACAGACGGAGAGCCAAAAAACACTCTGCCTTGCTTCTGTCAGACACTTTGTGGCAATGGTAAAAACCACAAAGTAACTTACCTAACCTTGTGGTTCACACTTTGTAGCCTATGGAAGGCTTAGGAGCTGCAGCCTAGAGAAGCCCAAAAATGCTATGAGCAGCACTGAATGGGCCATTCAGAACTTCTGAAGACCAGAATGCCTGCAGAAATACAGGCAGGAAAGGGCAGGCTCTGGAGAGGTTTCTGAGATGAACAGGACTCTATCAGGAACTGGGTTAGAGGCCACTCCTGTCGTGTTCTCCAAAGAGTCTGGCTGCATTCTAACACTTGAGGCGGAAAGCAATGGACTTCATTATTCAGCAGAGCAAATTTCAAGGCAGCAAAACATTCAGACTGTGGTCTAGTATTTCCTCAATCTATCCATTGAGGTTTATATGAGACTTGCAGCAGAAATGAACTAGCAAGGAAAGGAACTGGAGTATGGTGAAAGATGCAGACAAGATTGAAGGAGATAAAATAGCACTAAGATGAATTAGTGTCATTAAAGAGAAATGTTGTGTTCTTTACTAGAACAGATGTCCAGAGGGCAAGAATCCACCTATAGAAGGCACCAACTTTTAGAAATGCAAATTCATTTGAAGAGAGAGATCCAGAATTGAAATACCACGGACAGCCTCCCCTACTGAAGGGACTCCCTGCTTATAAACAATTCCGTAGGAAAAGTTATTTCCCTAGTTTTGCCTGTCACCGAATACAAAAGCCAAAAGAGCTCTAGAAGAGGAGTCCAGACTGTATCTTGCATTGGCAGCAGAACTGGGGACCATCAGCCAGAAGGTGCTGGTTTTAGAGGCACGTAAAATGCAAAAATTATGGGATCACAGTGGCTTACACCATGGTTACAGGAGGCCCCTGAGACCAGGCAAAGGTAGGTTCCCTGCTTTGAAGATTCCCTGCTTTGAAATACTGTTGCATGCCACTGTGAAGATGATGCCTAAGCCGCAGTCAAGAACCCCATTATGTTGGGAACGTCAGAACCATTGAATGCCCACTAAGGAATGTAGCATGAATCTTAAAAGTTCTTATTAATAAAATCAAACCCGGGGCCAGTTATTGGGGTGAAATGCTGGAAGATCAGAGAGACAGAACGACCCACAGCTAACCTCACCTGGCCAACTTCTCAGCTGGTCTTGTTTCCTCAGACTGGAAGCCTCTGTGTCCTCATATTCGAATGGGTCTCAGTTGAATTGCTGCTCAAAAGCCTGAAGCTTAACCAGCTAAAAGCTTAACCAGCCAAATGCTTCTAGTTTCTGGTCCTCACGCCTTATATACCTTTCTGCTTTCTACCACCACTCCCTGGGATTAAAGGCTTGCTTTCTAAGATTAAAGGCGTGATGAGTCACCATGCTTGGCTGTATCCTTGAACACATGGATTTCTGTCTCTGGAATGCTAGGATTAAAGGCGTGTGCTACCACTGCTTATCCTCTATGTTTAATATTGTGGCTGTTCTGTCTCTGACCCCAGATAAGTTTATTAGCATGCACAATATTTGGGGGAATACAATACCACAAAGGAAGGCTGCAGGCATGGTGGGCAGCCAGTCTAAGTGAGAAGCTATGGATGCTGTAGATGGCAGAACTGAAGGACCTGGTCCGGCCAAGTCAGCATCAGCTCCAAGGATACCATCACAAGCCCCATACTTGGACATGAAGCTGGGGATTGGATGTTTTACCTGCTTAGTTTCCTAGTGATTTTGTACAACTTTCCTTTCTTTACCTCTATTCCTCCTGTTTGGAATGTGTGTATTTACACTATCCTGTTGTATATTGGAAGAAGTGATAATGTAGCTTTAAAAAGGTTTTCGTTTATAAGGTATCACAATTAAGAAATTACCTTGAGTCTCATAAGACACGTTGGACTTTTGGACAATGCTAGAACTATTAATATTTTGGGATTCTTACAGATGAACTAAATGTCTTTGTCTTATGAGATGGCCATGAGCCTTTGAAGACCATGAGTGTGGGGCTATGGCTTAAAAACTATGATTGTCAAATTGACAAGGGATAGACGTTAATATTCACAACTAACATGGATAGATTTAAAATCACCTAGGAGGAATCACTTCTTGGTGTTTGGGCTAAAACTAAGATCAAGTGTAGCATTACCTAAGAGACAGACCTGTGGGTAGGCCTGTGAAAGTGCTTCCTTCCAGAAAGGTTTACCTGAGGGAGGAAGACCCATCCTTCTATGGGGGTGCCATCCCAAGGGCTGGGAGCATAAACCAAAGAAAAGAAGTAAAGCAAGAAGAGCTGGAGCCTGCAAGATCACCTCCTTCTCCTGACTGCCCAAGATGCCACAGCCATGATGGACTAGACTTTCTTACGTTGCTTTTGCTAGGGATTTTGTCACAAGAAGAAGAGTGACAAATAGTTACTTCATAAATTACAAATTGGGGGGCTGGAGAGATGGCTCAGCGGTTAAGAGCACCGACTGCTCTTCCAGAGGTCCTGAGTTCAATTCCCAGCACCCACATGGTGGCTCACAACTATCTGTAATGAGATCTGGCGCCCTCTTCTGTGTACATAATAAATAAATAAATCTTTAAAAAAAAAAAAAAGAAAAAGAAAAATATTTTTAAAAAAATTACAAATTGGCTCCAATTAAATTTCACAAGTAATTATACTAATGAATACTTTCAGTGTCAAGAGGACAATGAGACCACTTGGAAAAAGAAACAGTAGACATCTGGAAAACAATTCCTACAGAAACAAAAGGTGTGGTGGTCTTTGAAAAAAATGAAATGTGAAAAAAAGAACTGTAACTAATGACATATTTTTTTAATATTTAAATAAAATTAACTTTAAAAGTTTGAAATGGCTCCAAGATGAAGGGCACTGGCTGCTCTTCCAAAGGACCTGAGACTGATTTCCAGCATGCACATGGCAGCTAGCAACCATCTGTAACTCTGGTTCCAGGAGATGTGACACACTTCTCTGGTCTCTGTGCATGCAGCAGGAATGCACAAGGTGCATGTGCAGCAAAACATTTTACATATAAAATAATTTTTAAAAAACTAATTGCTTTGGAAGAAAAAATACTATTCATTTCTCTTTAGGAGAAATATAAATTTTAATTCCACATTTCCTGAGAAAATATAAGAACCACACGAGATAAATATACCATTCTCCAACTCAGTGTTTTCAAATTTTATAACTTATTAATCCAAGCATCTTTAAGCACTACAGTAAAAAGACAGAAG